AGAGGGAGAGAGAAAATCTCAAACAGGCTCCATGCTCAGTGCTCAGCACAGAGCTTGATGCAGGGCTCGATCCCACAACCTGACCCTGACCTGAACCAAAAGCAAGATTTAGAGACTTAACCGACCGAGCAACCCAGGTGCCCCACTGATCCTTTTACTGTTGCTTTTTCCAGAATATCATGTAGTTGGAAACATACAGTTTGTACCCTTCTCAGAATGACTTCTTTCACTTAGCAATATGCATTTAAGATTTCTCTATGTCGTGTTTTTTTTTTTAAGATTTTATTTATTTATTTGACAGAGAGAGACACAGTGAGAGAGGGAACACAAGCAGGGGGAGAGGGAGAGGGAGAAGCAGGCTTCCCATGGAGCAGGGAGCCCGATGCGGGGCTCGATCCTAGGACCCTGAGATCATGATCTGAGCCGAAGGCAGCCTCATAACCAACTGAGCCATCCAGGTATCCCTGAACATCTTTTCATATGCTTATTTGGATAGCCTATATCTTCTTCAGTGAGATGTCTATCCACATCTTTTGCTCACTTCTTAATTGGGTGTTGAGTTTCAAAATTTCCTTATATATTCTGCTTAATAGTCCTTTATTAGATAAGTGTTTGCAGATATTTCCTCTCAATCTGGTGTGTCTTTTCATTCTCTTGTCTAGCCATTTTTGTTTTTTTGGCATAACGTTTTTCATCATATTTTTTAGTTTCTTAAATTTTTGCTTATTTTATTATATCCCCCTTTTTAGTCCTAATATTATTTATTTGTTGCTACTTCTCTTGTATCTATATCAATTTCACAGAAACTTGTTTTCTTTATTAGTCTTTTCAAAGACCTAACTTTAGTTTTTTGGTCATCTGTACTATATATTTTTCTATTTTATTAATCTTTATCTTCATTTATCTTTCTCTTCTTCCTTCTACTGTTTTGGATTTTTGCTTCTTCTAATGTATTAGGATGATCACTTATATATTTAATTTTTAGTCTTATTTTCTACTGTAAATGCATATAAGGTTATTACTTTACCTGTGTCCTATAAACTTTCATATATAGTATTTTTATTACCTCTCAAATCTTGTATTACTTCTCAAATCAAATATTATAACTTTGCATTGGGATTTCTTCTTTGACTTTTCTGTTATTAAGATGTTTTTTAGGGGGCGCCTGGGTGGCTCAGTCGTTGAGCATCTGCCTTCGGCTCAGGTCATGATCCCAGAGTGCTGGGATCGAGCCCCGCATCAGGCTCCTTGCTTAGCAGGAAGCCTGCTTCTCCCTCTCCCACTCTCCCTGCTAGTGTTCCCTCTCTTGCTGTGTCTCTCTCTGTCAAATAAATAAATAAAACCTTAAAAAAAATAAATATAGTACCTTTAAAAAAAAAAAGATGTTTTTTAGGGTGCCTGGGTGGCTCAGTTGGTTAAGTGACTTCCTTCGGCTCAGGTCATGATCCTGGAGTCCCTGGATCGAGTCCCGCATCGGGCTCCCTGCTCGGCAGGGAGTCTGCTTCTCCCTCTAACCCTAACCCCTCTCATGTGCTCTCTCTCATTCTCTCTCTCTCAAGTAAATAATAAAATCTTAAAAAAAAAAAAGATGTTTTTTAAATCTCTAGGAGCACCTGAGTGGCTCAGTCGGTTAAGGGTCTGCCTTCAGCTCAGGTCATGATCTCAGGGTCCTGAGATTGAGGCCTGTGTCAGGCTCCCCACTGAGTGGGGAGTTTGCTTGTCTCTCTCCCTCTGCTCCTTCCCCCTGCTTGTGCTTTCTCTGTCTCTCTTTCAAATAAATAAATAAATAAAATATATATTTTTAAAAAGATGTTTTTTAAATCTCTAAATACAGTTTTAAAAATAATCATTTTATTATTGACTTCTAACTTAATTGTAATATGACCAGAGAATGAGATCTGTGTGATAGCATTTTTTTGCAATTTGTAGAAAGTTGCTCAATGGCCTAAATCAAAATTAATTCTTTGAATCTTCCTTGTAAGTTTTAAAAGTATTTGTTTTCTCAAAATGCTGGGTGCAGTGTTCTATATCCATTCCTTAGAAAATCAATGAGGTGCCTGGGTGGTTCAGTTGGTTAAGCATGACTCTTGATTTCAACTTAGGTCATGATCTCAGGGGTGTGAGATTGAGCCCTATATTGGGCTCTGTACTGAGTGTGGAGCCCGTTTAAGATTCTTTCTCTCCCTCTCCCTCGGCCCCTCCCCTGTCGTGCACATGCTCTTGCTCTTAAAAAGAAAGAAGAAAATGTTAATTAATGGTGTTGGAGATATTCCTGCAATGGCTAGTGATTCTTGGATATCATTACCTATGTGGGCGTTATTGACTGAGTGTCTCCTCTTCTTAAAATTCATATGTTGAAAACTAACCCCCAATATATTGGTATCAGGAGGCGGGGGCTTTGGGAAGTGATTAGGTCATGAGAGTGGACCCTCATGAATGAGATTAATGCCTTATAAAAGAGGCCTATGAGAGCTCCTTATCCCTTGGCCAAGTGAGGGCACAACAAAAAGACAGTGGTCTATAAAGTAGATAGCAGGCATTCACCAGACAGTAAATCTGCCAGCACCTTGATCATGGACTTCCCAGCCTCCAAAACTATGAGAAATCAATTTTTGTTGTTTATAAGCCACCTACTCCATGGTATTTTATTACAAGCACCTAAATAGACTAAGAGTAAGGTACTAAAAAGCTGACTGGGAATCCTTTATGCACAGATGAGGCTTGTTGGATTGGATTTTTAATTTAGGGTGTTTGTTTATGGACCCACACAGTTTATTATGGTGTAGGGGAGAAAATATTTTCCTCTACCCTTCTAGATTTTTGTGGCTGGTCTATTAATCAAATTGACATAAGACAGATGAACAGGAGAAAACAAATTTAATTATGTACATATGAGAGCTCTATAAGATGAGACCCAAGGACAAGCCTAGCAATTGAGGCTTATATGCCATCCTAAGCTAAAGAATAGTATAGGGGCCTGGGGCTTCAAATGGGAGGAGGGTAATTTACAGGACCAGAGAGCAGATATTTAGTAATTAGATATTTGCCCTGCTATACATTAAAAGTTCTTAAAATTATCTCTGGTAATAGCTCTTTTTCTGGGCCAGACCCCCATTCTAAATTCTTTTAGGTAGTTAAGGGAGAGATAAAACTTTTTCTTAAATCTGCTGGGTCTTAACTGCCTTTAGCTCAGAATAATCCACATGCCAAGGTGGCATATGTTTGTACCATGTATTCTGTTCCTCCTCAATGGGGATCCCTCAAATGTCAATATTCTGTCATTCTAATCAAATTTCTGTCTTTTAAAAGAAATTTTGAAGGTGCCTGGGTGGCTCAGTTGGTTAAGCGACTGCCTTAGGCTCAGATCATGATCCTGGAGTCCCGGGATCGAGTCCCGCATCGGGCTCCCTGCTCAGTGGGGAGTCTGCTTCTCCCTCTGACCCTCCCCCCTCTCATGCTCTCTATCTCATTCTCTCTCACAAATAAATAAATAAAATCTTTAAAAAAATCACACTGAGATTTGTTTGTCTGCTGTTATCTCCTATTCCTATTCTTTTTCTTCTTTGGGTTTATAAACTTTTCACTCCTTTACTTTCATTTAATAAAAAGTTTCATTTAAGTATGGGTTAAGTACTGATTAAGTATCAGGAAAGTGTCCACAAATATGCAACCTGAATACATATGTAAACCAGCACTCATTAATAGAACATTTTCAGCACTTCATGAGCCTCCCCATGTTCTCTTCCAGAGTCATTACTCCACATTGACTTCTAACAACATAGGTATTTGGGTAGTTTCCAGTTTAGGGCTATTGCCAATTATAGGTATGGGCTTTTTTTGTGTTTGTCCTTTCAGTGAACATATGTACACATTTCTGTTGGGCATATACCTTGGAGTGAAACTGTTGGGACAAAGGCTATACATATATTCAGCTTTATTGATATTGCCAAACAGTTTAACAAAGCGATTGTACCAATTTATATTCCCTCAGCAGCATATGAGAGTTCTGGTTGCTCCACAACCTTGTCAATACTTGGCGTTTTCTGTCTTTTTCATATTAGCCTTTCTGGTTGGTATGGAATGGCATCTCATTGTGGTTTTAATTTGTATTTCCTCTTTACTCTTTTGTGTGTTTTTTTTTTAGGTGTTTCAGGATGGAGCGATTGAAATACAGGGGGTTAATCCTCTACAGCTGCCATAAGTTTCTCCCTTATGGGTACTTACCTAATGGAACTTAGAACCTTTTTTCCTGTACAGGAGGCAATATAATACAGAGAATGAGGGCAACAAACTTTGCAAGAAGATATACTGAGGTTTGATTCCCAGCTCCAATGCTTACTTGCTACTACCTTGAGAAATTTATTTAACCTTTCTCCATTTTATGTAAAATGTCACTAATAATAGTACTGCTTCAGGAGGTTGTTTTGAGGATTAAATGAGATAAAATACATAAAACAATTTCTACCACACTGTGTGTACATAGTGAACAAATGGCAGCTATTATTATACCTTATATTTTTTACGCTCATCTCATTTCTCCTTCTGTTACACTTTTTATGACAGGGAAGCAATACATAGCACACATTAGCCTCTTCACATATAATAGTTGCTGATAAAAACTAGTTGAATGATTTTAAATATAAACATAAAGTACTGTGGTTATTGTCATAAAAGATGGCATAATTATTATAATGGCAATAGTATAAAATGCACTGCTAATCAGGAATACATTACTTAAACAGTGTCTCTATTTACCTTTATCATTTAACAGTTAAGATAATTAGTGCTGTAGAGTAACATTACTTGAGCTAATTAGTAATAACAATTAGATGTTCCATATTACATTTGCGAGGGTTCCAGGGCTGCTTCTGTTAAAGCCAAAACCAAAACAAATAAAAATACCACCCCAGAAACAAAAACACTCCTTTTCTGAAGAGATGCTAAGCCTTTCCAATTTTAACAGATCCTTTCCAATTTTAACAGATCCTTTGTTCAGCAGTGGAGAAACTGGGGAAGGAACAGCTGCCCCAGCAGCTTCCGTACAACATGGCGTCACCCATTTGTATACCCCAGCTGGGTTTACGTCCTCCTAGCCGGCCACAGGACCGGAAGTGGTTTCGGTCCTAGTGGATCCGGGTAGGTGCACGCAGGTGGCCGAGGAGGGTTCCAATTCTTCAGCGTGAAGTGCCGCAGGTGTTCGGGTTAGGTCCGGGGTCGCAGGTAAGTGAGAATAAGGGACCGCGGGGCCTTTCACCCGCCTTGTGCGAGGGAAGGAAGGGGTTTCCAGTGCGGATTGAGGAGAGGCGTTGTGGAGCTGGAGATGTCACTGTGTGCGGGGGCGACTTATTGCGGGGACCCCGCCGTCCCCGAGCGACTTGGCCCAGCCCTTCTTCCCTTCCTCCGCGGCGGTTCAGCACCCAGGTGTGCGATGAGGGCTCTTGCCCCGGGCCGCGGCCCACCATGCTTCCCCCGGCCGCCCCCTCGGGCCCCTCCGTCTCTCTTTAGGAGCACCTACCAAACCTTCATGGCTCCTAGACCCAATCAGCTCAAAAGAAGGCACCGCCCACAGCACCTGGCAACTCCTTGGCCGCTGCGTGTTTCACGCGGCCGCAGTTACGGTTCCCTCCCCTCCCTTCGTGGGGACCTGCCCCCGCCCCCAGTGTTACCACCCCTTTCCTCCCAGACCACACCCGCTGCTCCGGGCCTTGCAGGGAGCCAGCGTTCTCTTTCCGCAACCCTAGTGAGGCCTGCAAAATTGATACTTGCTCCTTAACATATAAGCAAACAACCCTTTCTAAGTTTTTGATGTACTGATTGGACGCGAACTCTCTTAGATACCCACTCCTTGAAAACACTACATTATTTATACCATTTTTAAAAAGATTAAAAAAATTATTTTTAAGTGATCTCTACACCCAACGTGCGGCTCCAACTCACAACCCCAAGATCAAGAGTCGCATGCTGCACCGACTGAGCCAGCCAGGCGCCCCATACCGTGTTTTTTTAGTTGTATTACATGGATAGAAGGAACTGCATGGGAATATTTTGTTAATTATCAGAATTAGGAAGTGTGGGAGAAAAGCAGCTTAATAGGGGAAAATAATGATTCGTTTTGGTTAAGTTGAGCTAGTTCTAAAAATGTATTCTTTTATAGTTAATTTTTGTATTTAATTTTTAAAATTTATTATTTATTTGAGAGAGAGAGGGAGAGCAGAAGCAGGGAGAACAGTAGACGGGGAAGGAGAAGCTGACTCCCCGTTGAGTAGGGAGCCTGATGTGGGCTCAATCCCAGGACCCTGGAGTCATGACTTGACCTGTAGGCAGACACTTAACTCACTGAGCCACCCAGGCACTCCATCTTTTATATTTATTTTAGTTGTAGTTCATGCATACAGCCTTTTAAAAAATTTAAGAAATTTAAACAAAATGGATTCTCTTTGATCTCTCTCTATCTCCATCTCCTTAATCTCTTAGATCTAAAGTAAGAACTGTTACCAGTTTGGGATGTGTTTTTCTATTTCTCTTTCTTTGCATTTATTGACAAGTATTCACATAAGTTACATGTATGTACGATGTAAGATTTCGTGTTAAATTTTTACTAATACATATTTTACGAATATGGCATATTGTACCTATTCAGCAACTTGATTTTTATACTTAAAAGTGGGTCTTGGAACTTTTTCTTTGTCCATATGTATGTAGAGATTGACTTTATTCTTTCTACTTGCTCTGTAAATTCCATGGTATATTAAGTTTTCATAGTATGCGAGAGTCCATAGATTGCTTACAGTTAGACACAGTGTGGCAGAGAACATCCTTCCACATGTGTCTGTGTGCCCATGTGGACATTTCAAACCTGCAGATTGAATTGCTGGGTGGGAGGGTGTGGACATGTAATGGCAAACTGCCCACCAACAGTATATAATAATGTCTATTTCCCTAGCTCTTTTAAACATTTGATGCTATTAATCTTTTTCATTTTTGCCAATCTGATGGGTAAAAAATGATTCTGATTGGTGTTTTAATTTGTATTTCCCTAGTTACTAGTGAGATTGGGCATTTTATCATGATTATTGGCTGTTTGTATTTCCTCTTTTGAGAAATGTCTCCTTTTAATTGGGCTGTTTTTTAATAGATAGTAGTTTTTTATGTATTCTGGATATTTTTTGTCATTTTTATTTGTTTTAAGTATTCCCAATATAGTGCTTTTTAAAGTTAATGCTTGTCTTTTTTTTTTTTTAAAGATTTTATTTTTTTATTCATGACAGACAGAGAGAGGGAGAGAGAGAGAAGCAGAGGGAGAAGCAGGCTCCCAAGGAGCAGGGAGCCCGATGCGGGACTCGATCCCAGGACCCTGGGATCATGACCTGAGCCAAAGGCGGACGCTTAACCATCTGAGCCACCCAGGCGCCCTAAAGTTAATGCTTGTCTTTTAACTACATGGCGTCCTTCTCAAACCATAGTTTTAACTTTTACATTTAAATGTATCAGTTTTTTACTCTGTGTATTCTGTATTTTGTGGCTGTCATTCCCTACCAGAATGGTTCTCCAGTGGGAGATATTTTGCCTTCCAGGGGCTATTTGGCAATGTGAGGACGCATTTTTCAGTTGTCTAACTGGGGTTGTAGAATGACAGGCATCTACTGGGTGGAAACCAGGGATGCTGCTAAACATCCTACAATGCATTGGAAAACCCTCCACAACAAAGAATTTTTCTGGAGTAGAAAGTCAGTAGTGCGGATGTTGAAGAACCCTGTTACACCCTAAGGCACAACAGCGTTTTCTCTTACAACTAATCCTTTCTCCTATAAATTCTTACATGTTTTGAGTTTTCCTTTAATTCCTCTGGATGTGTGTGTGTGAGTGAATGGTGTGTGCATAGTTACTGTTTTCCCAACAGTGTCGCTCTGAATATTAAATGCATTCATGACTCATTAATCTGAAATGCCACGTTTATCACTTACTACTTTCTCACACAGAGTCAGTTTCTGGACTGTTCTGTGACCTAATTTTCTGTTTTGCTGGACCAATACCACAATATCCAATGTTAAATATATGTTCTATTTTGATATTTAGTAGGATAAATACTCGCTTATGATTATTACTGTCATTACTTTATTGAAAATTTTATACTTTATCAGCTCACATACTCATTTAAAAAAACTATGGGGGCTAATCTTAGAATTTCTTTTCCAGATTTTTAGAATTAGCTTGTCAAATAGTTTTTTTAAGTGGCTTTATCAAGATGTAATTTACATAACTCATTGTTTAAAGTGTACAATTCAGTGGTTTTTTTAGTGTATTCACAGTCATGCAGCCATCACCACAATCTAATTTTAGGACATTTCCATCACCCCAAAAAGAAACCCATGCCAATTAGCAGTCATTCCCCATGCCATTCCCCAGTACCGGAGCCCTAGGCTACCACTAATATTTCTGCCTTTATAGATCTGAATATTTTATATAAATGGAATCCTACAATTTGTGATATTTTGTGACAGGCTTCTTTCACTCAGCATAATGTTTTTAAAGTTTCATCCATGTTGTAGAATGTATCAGTACTCCTCTATTTTTACTGCTGAACAGAATTCCATCCTCTGTTGTATTTGTTTCCTAGGGCTACAGTAACAAAGTAACAAACTGGGTGGCTTAAAATAACAGAAATGTATTCTCTCACAGTTCTGGAGGCTATAAAGTCCAAAATCAAGGTGTCAGCAGGGCTTTTCTGTCTCTGATGGCTCGAGGGGAGAATCCTTTCTTGCCTCTTCTTTAGCCTTGGGTGGTTGCTGGCAATCCTTGGCATTCCTTGGCTCGCAGCTGCCGAAACTCTGACCTCTGCCTGTCTTCACATGGCCTTCTTCCCTGAGGGTCTGTCTTTACATGATAATTCTCTCTGTAGGAGCCTGTTTCAGTGTCTCTTCTCCCCTTCATGGGAGGACACCATTTCTATTGGATTAAAGGCCCACACTACTTCAGTATGACCTCATTTTAACTTGATTATGTGTGCAAAGACCTAAGTTTCAATAAGGTCGCATTAGCAAGTACTGGGGGTTAGGACTTCAACATACTTTTTTGAGGACACAGTTCAACCCATAACCTTATGGATGTGGTACATTTTATGTATCCACTTGTCAGCTGAAGGACATATACATTGTTTCCACTTTTTGGCTATTATGAATAATGCGGCTGTGAACTTTTGTTTGGACATATGTTTTCATTCCTCTTGGGTATATACCAGCAGTGGAATTGCTGGGTCATATGGCAACCCTCTGTTTAATCATTTGAGGAACTGCTGGTGTTTTTCAAAGCAGCAGCAGCACCATTTTACATTCCCACCAGTAGTGTGTGAGAGTTCTAATTTCTCCATATTATTGCTAGCACTTATTATCTGTTTTTTTTTTCATTAGAGCCATCCTAGTAGGTGTGAGGTGGTATCTCATTGTCATTTTGATCTGTATTTCCCTACTAGCTTTTCAGTGCTTATTGGCCATATGTATATCTTCTTTGAAGAAATGTCTGTTCAGATCCTTGCCTGTTTTTAACCGGTTTGTCTTTTTTATATTGAATTGTAAGAGTTCTTTATATAGTCTGCATACATGCTCTTAGCAGATATATGTTTTGCAAATATTTTCTCCCATCCTGGGGTTTCTATTCCCTCTCTTGGTGGTCAATTCATTTTTTAAAAAAGTTTTTTAAAATTAAGTTTGCATTGCATTTGTATGTTATTTTGACTATTTCTGTAAAACGGTTAATCTCTTTATTAAAAAAATAGAGTACTTATAGTACCTTTTGAAGAAGGTTGTTGAAAGGATTGAGTAATGTGTACATGATTGCATATGATATGAGGTGCCTGGCACATGCTGTGTGCTCTGTATTTGACAGCTGTGATAATATCTCTCTGCTCTTCCAGGCTTCTGTGTCTTCAGTAAAGTTTTCTATTTTTCTTCATATCAATCTTGCACATTTCTTGTTGAGTTTATACCTAGGTGTGTGTGTGTATGTGGTTGTTGTTTTGTGTGTGGTTTTAAAAAAGTGTATTTTGCTATTTTGAGTGGGGTTTTCTTCATATTTTTATAATGGTTTTGGAAAGTTATTGATTTTATATATTCATCAAACTTTCAAAATGATAAGTTGTAAAAGTTATGACTTGTTTACTTACCCAGGTGATTCCAATGTGGTCATTCTGTTAGGAATCATGGTTCTTTTTTTCTTTTTCTTTT